GTTGTGTCATTGCCTGTTAACAGTTTGCGTTCTTGCTCTGTTGTGGCTTATGACAGCGTCGACGGGACGCCTGCCTTCTCCTGAGAGCCCTGGGCATGTGCTGCACCAACATAACCTCAACGCTCCCAGTGAGGGCTTGCCCACGGGCCGAGGCGGGTTGTTATGCACTCATCCACTTCCCACGCCTCAGGGATCACGGGCGTTAATGACATCTCGCAGGTTGCCGGGAACTGTTGCTCCAACACCGTCTATGCGCATGTCCACCACCAGTTCGAAGAGGCGTCGGCTTGGGTTGCCATCATCAGGAAGAAAAGGCATGAGGGCAATAGACGAAGTCACGGAGAGCAATTTCAATGCCGTCAACACAGTCGCCCAGAGCGTGGCAAGAGGGCCCTGGGAAGGGGGACCCATGACAGAAGACCGATTTTTATCACTCCAAGCCAACAACTACCATCTCAAAGTAGAGGTGGCAGAAAAGGATGAGAGAATCAAGCAGTTGAGTATTGCCTCTGTTTGCGAATCCTCGTAGGCCGTTCATGCAATTTGTGGAAAAACTCGAAGAAATGCTACTGGGCAAAATGTCTATTCTCAAGGGTTCCTTAAACTTCCTTTTGTTCCTGTGGGTTGGCCAATAGTTCCATTCTCTTTCTCTCTGTGAGGGGGTGTTTTTTAGGGGGGGGGAGAGGAGGGGGATATTCACTGCACGATGGGATGCTGATCTGGGTGGTCTTGGGAACAAAATGAAATACGATTGGCATAAAGAGAATTGGATGTACTGATGATTTTGTTAGAAACAAAACAAATTGAAATGACTCCACATAACTGCACAAGCAGAAATTTTGCCAGCGCAACCTTTCCAAAAGTACGGCATTATGGAATCCTTTAGGATAGTTTTTGTGTGCTGAATCTGGTGATTAATGTTTCGTTTGGATGCTAGTTTTTGTGTGCTGAATATGCTGATTAATGTTTCGTTTGGATGCTAGTTTTTTGTGCTGAGTAATGCTAGTTTTTCTCCTGATCCATGTTTTGTTTGTGTGCTGATGCTAATAGGTTGCTGGTCAGGCTACAAAGGGTGGAGGATGTGGCAAAGAAGAAGATAATGGAGGAGCTGAAGCATGTGATGGGAGGGGAGCAGAGTCGACGCAGGACAATGGTTGTGATGGGGTCGATCTCCCGCCAGTTTTATGCAGAGCAGGTGCACTTCGCAAAAGGCGCGTAAAACCCCTCTCTGCCGTGCACCAGATGAGCTCCAAGATTTCTTTCTTTTCTCGTTTTGCCTGAGTGGACGAGGCAGAAGGGCGATGCTGGAATTTTCTGGAACGTTCTGGTTTCGTTCATCTTTCTTTCATCTTTTGGCACATCATGTCCTCCACGAGAGTAAGGCCTCACATTTTCTGCTAAATGCTGTGAACCGTGTTCTCTCTCTTGCGGTTGTTCTCTCTCTCTCTCTCTCTCTCTCTCTCTCTCTCTCTCTCTCTCTCTCTCTCTCTCTCTCTCTCTCTCTCTCTCTCT